CTGCTATGGTGGGGGCAAGCCCGCCTGAACTCCACCTCCTGCCAGATCAGTGGCTGCATTAGAGTCTCATAACAGTGTAAACCCTACTGTAAACTACACATTCGAGGGATCTAGGTTGTGGACTCATTGTGAGAATCTAACTAATGCCTGATGATACGCAGTGGAAGTTTTATCCCAAAACCATCCACCACCCACCCGACCTTTATCCATGGAAAAACTGGTTTCCACAAGACTGGTCACTGGTGCCAAAAGGTTGAGGTTTAATGGGTACAGTTTTCAGTTTTGGAAATATGAAAAAGTTCTGGAGATAGTGGTGATAGTTACAAAACAATCTGAATGTATTTAATACCACCAAACTGCATACTTATAAAGATAACAATGCAGTGGCTCATGCTTGTAATCCCAGCACTTTGGAGGCCAAGGCGGGTGGATCACTAGGTCAGGAGTTTGAGACCATCCTGGCCAACATGATGAAATCCCATCTCTACTAAAAATACAAAAATTAGCTGGGTGTGGTGGTGCACGCCTATAGTCCCAGCTACTTGGGAGGCTGAGGCAGAATTGCTTGAACCCAGGAGGCAGAGGTTGCAGTGACCAGAGATCGTGCCACTGCACTCCAGCCTGGTGGAACAAGACAGAACTCTGCCTCAAAAAAAAAGAAAAAAAGATTACAATGTAAATTTTATCTTAAGTATATCTTACACAGTGAAAAAAAAACTTTAAAAAAATTGTATCTTCCCTATTATCCAGTCTTTCTTTTCCTAAATGAATTTGAATCAATTTATACTATTTTGTCTTTAAAAAGCAAAAAAGCAAAATAATCTATGTAAAATTTATTTTCCTCTAGTGAATACTAAGTCCGTGTGAAAACTAGCACTTCAAGATTTCCTGCTTCTGGAGAGAGATCCAAGATGGCTGATCACCAGCAGCTCGGGATTGTACCTCTCAGTGAAAGCGCAAAGAAGGAGAGGACACCACACCTTCACATGAATTCTTGTTGCTCACGCACCAGGAGATTCCCAGCGGAGGAGCCCCACGGGGCCGCCAGCGCGACTCTTGTGACCGGCGAGGCGGTTTTGCCGGCGCCTCGGAGCGTCGGTTCTTGGTGCAGAGTCAGAAAAGCACCATCAACCTTAACGCCGCTGATTTAGTCGGCGCAGTGGGTTGCTCAGATTTCGGCGCTGGGAATCAGTAAGTTGGACGTCCACTCAGAAACCCAATTACAAGGACGGTAAATACAAAGACCACAGATGGATAAATTTATAACGAAGGGAAGAAAACAGCCAAAAAAGGCTGAGAATACCCAAGATCAGAACGCCTCTTCCTCAGCAGGGGATCACAGTTCCTCATCAGCAACGAAACAAGGCTTGATGGAGAACAAGTGTGTTCCAATTACAGAAGCAGGCTTCAAAATGTGGATAATGAGCAACTTCTGTGAATTAAAAGAACTTGTTCTAACACAATCTAAAGAAACAAAGACCTTTAAAAAAAGGTTTGGCGAAATGTTAACAAGAATACACAATTTAGAGAGGAATATAAGTGAATTGATGGAGCTGAAAAACACAATACGAGAAGTACGTGAAGTATGCACAAGTTTTAACAGCCGAATTGATCAAGCAGAAGAAAGGACATCAGAGGTCGAAGACCAACTCAATGAAATAAAACAAGAAGACAAGATTAGAGAAAAAAGGATAAAAACGAACGAGCAAAGTCTCCAAGAATTATGGGACTATGTGAAAAGACCTAATCTACGCTTGATAGGTGTACCTGAATGTGACAAAGAGAATGAATCCAAGCTGGAAAATACGCTTCAGGATATTATTCAGGAAAATTTTCCCAACCTAGTAAGGCAGGATAATATTCAACTCCAGGTAATACAGAGAACACCACAAAGATATTCCTCAAGAAGAGCAACTCCAAGGCACATAATCGTCAGATTCGCCAGGGTTGAAATGAAGGAGAAAATACTAAGGGCAGCCAAAGAGAAAGGTCAGGTTACCCACAAAGGGAAACCTATCAGACTTACAGCAGATCTCTCAGCAGAAACCCTACAAGCCAGAAGAGAGTGGGGACCAATATTCAACATCCTTAAAGAAAAGAACTTTCAACCAAGAATTTCACATCCAGCCAAACTAAGCTTCGTAAGTGAAGGAAAAATAAAGTTTTTTCTGAATAAACAAGCACTCAAGAGATTTCATCACCACCAGACCTGCTTTACAAGAGCTTCTGAAAGAACCACTACACATAGAAAGGAACAAACAGTATCAGCCTTTCTAAAAACTACTAAAAAGAGCATCAATAAAATGAAGAATTTACATCAACTAATGGGCAAAATAGCCAGCTAATATTAAATGGCAGTATTAAACTCACATATGTCATTATTAATTCTAAATTTAAATCGACTAAATCCCCCAATCCAAAGACAACCAATTTGAATAAAAAACTAAAACCCATCAGTATGCTGCATCCAGACCCATCTCACATGCAAGGATACACAAAGACTCAAAACAAGGGATGGAGAAAGATTTACCAACCAGAGAGCTAAAATAAATAAATAAAAAGCAGAAGTTACAATTTTTGCCTCTGATAAAATAGTCATTAAAGCAACAAAGATCAAAAGAAGCAAAGAAGGACATTATATAATGATAAAAGGATCAATGCAACAACAAGAGCTAAAGATCCTAAATATATACGCACCCAATACAGCAATACCCAGACATACAAGACTAATAAAGAGACTTAGACTCCCACACAATAATAGTGGGAGACTTCAACATTAATATTAGACAGATCAATGAGACAGAAAATTAACAACGATATCCAGGACTTGAACTCAGATCTGGAACAAGTAAACGTAATTAACATTTATAGAACTCTCCACTTTAAATACACAAAATATACACTCTTATCAGAACCACATCATATCAACTTAGAAGTTTAAACGAAATGTTGGTTGGCTCCTTATTTGTTATTCTCTTCCCTCATTTTCTTTTATGTCTCCATTATAGGACAATTACAGGCATACCCATATTTAGATTGCATTCTAGCCCGGGGAATAAAGCAATACCCCCATCCTCTCTCCCTCTTCCTCTTTCTTCCTCTTCTTTATTCTTTTTCTTATTTAAAAAAAAGAAAGAAAGAAAGAAAAAGAACCAGTACCTTGAATTCCACCATGCCCTGACCTCTCAGGGACCCTATACCATCATTTATCCTCCATTCACCTACATCTCACCTCTTTCTCTATTTTCCCCTAACTCTTTCACCTAAGAATTTAGACTTCCTCTTCTTAAAACAAATCCATGCAAATCCTATGCCCAAAAAAAAAAAAAAAAGATTTCCTGCTTCTCTTTTAAGTCACCAAGAAATATGAATATAAGAAAATGAAATCTTCTCAGAAAGAAACCTGACTAAATCACTCTACTTATAAATTATTTCACTAATGTCTAGTGTGTTTAAGTGTCAAAAACAAATACATTTCTGAATTTCCAAAGTTTTTATTAAGTCTTTCTCCAGAGGGCCAATTCACTAAGGAGCCTCCATGATGTCTAACTGGCATGTTAGGTAACAACTAGTATAACAGATGATGAATTAAATAGCACCAAAAAATATAATTACCCAGTCTGCTGTATAAACCAGTTTTTAAGGTTTAATTCACTAATGCTTTCCTGCCTTTCAGCTCTAAACATGAACGGCTATAAAACGTTCATTACATTTTACAACCTCTGAAAAGAAAATATATTTACTAAAGTATAGAATTCGATGACTTGCCCAAAGACTTCTAATGAGTCAGCTTTAAGTGGTGCCACCACCCAAACTGGGCTCATGTCTTTGTGGGCTGATAAAGAAGAAACATATTTCATGCAATTCAAGCCTTACTTAAGAAATAACTACAACTGCACCACTGATATACATATATAGGAGATATATATATTTTTTTTTTTTTTTTTTTTTTTTTTTTTGAGACGGAGTTTCGCTCTTGTTACCCAGGCTGGAGTGCAATGGCCTGATCTCGGCTCACCGCAACCTCCGCCTCCTGGGTTCAGGCAATTCTCCTGCCTCAGCCTCCTGAGCAGCTGGGATTACAGGCACACGCCACCATGCCCAGCTGATTTTTTGTATTTTTAGTAGAGACGGGGTTTCACCATGTCGACCAGGATGGTCTCGAACTCTCGACCTCGTGATCCACCCGCCTCGGCCTCCCAAAGTGCTGGGATTACAGGCTTGAGCCACCGTGCCCGGCCTTTTTTTTTTTTTTTTGAGACGGAGTTTCGCTCTTGTTACCCAGGCTGGAGTGCAATGGCGCGATCTCGGCTCACCGCAACCTCCGCCTCCTGGGCTCAGGCAATTCTCCTGCCTCAGCCTCCTCAGTAGCTGGGACTACAGGCACGTGCCACCATGCCCAGCTAATTTTTTGCACTTTTAGTAGAGACGGGGTTTCACCATGTTGACCAGGATGGTCTCGATCTCTCGACCTCGTGATCCACCCGCCTCGGCCTCCCAAAGTGCTGGGATTACAGGCTTGAGCCACCGCGCCCGGCATATATAGGATATTTTTAAACACTGTCCCAGAAAGCCTGAGAAGCAAGATTTTAAAAAAATAATCTTGTCACATATAAATATACAAATACAATAAGAAGGCAGCAAAACTTTTCCAAATTGAAAAAAAAAAAAAAAAAAACTATGGCCAGCTGATTTTAACTATTAATTCAATTTAACCAGGAATTGACTTGAGAAGTTGAGGCTTTAATTGCTTTTGTTATACCTTTCAAAGTAAAAATATATCCAATGGAAAATATTCAGCAACGTGTTTGGTGAAAGGCAATGTCAAAACTAACATTACCTAAACTCAAAATTTCGTCTTGCCAAATTAAATGGCTACTTACTCTACCAACAGAATGTTTTTTCAAGACTTTTAAATTTCACCTAATAGTTTAAATCATACACTCTGTAAGAACTTAATTAAAATGTTTTCCATAGTCACTTAATCTCTCAGAACTTACCTACTTTGCCGATCTGCTGGTTTGGGGACTGAATGCACTATCTTCTCCAACTCTTCCAGAATCTTTTCTTCTTATTCTAAAATTAAAATAATGTTATCTTTAATGTTTTCGATTTATTGTCTCATGTCAAAAAATCGTTTAGTTCACTGTCTTTGATTTTTATCTTCACTGTGTCTCACTGTTTTCAGAAAAGTCACAAATACCAACAGCTGCTGGAGCTGAAGTGGAGGTATCGCTAGTACCTTGAAAATCCCAACTCTATGAACTAACAGACTGTCACGAAGGACCTCTTTTTGCAATGTCAAATAGTTTATGAGCTCTCGACAATATTAACCAACAATGGTGATGGCAGAACCAATACTCACGGTCATTTCAGAGTGCTTAAAATTAACTGCAAGACAAAAGCATCCATAGGAATAAGACTTTGCCAGCTCGAAATTAAAACTGATTTAATATAGTCTGCTCATCTCTCTGTTCTGCCATTTCAATGCTGTGGGACCCTGGGTCAGATGTACCTAATGCACCTCAAAATTGAGGCTTCACATCTGTGAAATGGGCATAACTGCACCTAACCCAGTTAAGTCCTGCGAGCACCTCGCACAAAGGGGCTCAAAATGGCGGTACTCCTCCCTTCCCCTTCTCGAAGCTCCACTCTCCCAGGCCTCCCTCCTAAAGAGTCTCCGCCTCGGCGCCCGCCAGCCCCGAACACCCGCGAGGCGGACCGACTCGGCAGCGTCCGCTCCTCTCACCCTCGCCACCAAAGAGGCCTCCTCCCTCACAGGAACCCAGCTCCAGAGCGGAGGGGCGGGAAAGTGGTTCCCCAAACTCCTGTGTGGGACAAGCCGGAACGAGTGGACCCAAGCCAGCCCCCTCCATCGTCACGCCCCCAGGATTCCCCGCCAAACACACTGGGCACACCAGCCTGTGCTCCAGGTAAAGAAAAAAGACTCAGAGCCGCCTTCTCGGGTCCGAATAAAAGGTTCTTAGACTCACCGCGAAGAGGAGGCGGACCAGGCAACTCCACAGCACCAAAGCAGCGCCAAGCCCTCCCAGCTGATGCTGAGAGCCGCTCCGAGGCCCCGCCCTCTTCCGCCCCAAGGGCTTCAGGTGCCCAGACGGGGCGTGGCCTCGCGGCGCAGGCGCAGGCTGCAGGCAACATTCAACTGTGTGGCAATGGCCAATGGGAACGGTTGCTAGGCTTGTTCGAAAGTAAACGGCGGACGGCGTGGCCCGAGGCAGGTGGCGGGTTCGGCTCGAGACCCGCGCCCAGTTTTCCGCGCCTGCGTGCTAGGCGCAGGCCGCCTCTCGGAAACTTGCGTGGGCGCCTCGTAGTAGCTGCTGTCTAGCCGGTGGGGAGCTTCGGCCGGCGGACTTCTTGAGCTGGGGTTCCGCCTGGGGAATCCGAATGGCACCGATGGTCGGGGCGAGAGACGGGATCTAGCGCGGGCCAAGGCACAGCGCCGGCGGCCTCCGGTTTCTGGGGAACTATCTTGGAGCCACATGGGCATGGCCTGCTGCTAGGCTGTGGAGCGCAGGGGCTTCCATCGTAGTTTCACAGACCCGCTGCTCCGGAAAGTCTCCACGCGTCCTTGGGGCACACCCACACCTGTCTCCAGCACCCTCCGCCGCTCAGCTGTTTGCTTTTGTTACTAGCTCCGGAGACCTGACCCACCCGAGCACGGGGATGAGCACAAGAGAAGAGACTTGGGAACGCTCTTTGTACTCAAAGAACTCCCAAGAGCGAGTGGGAAACCCCTGACTGGGGTGGGTGGATCCCTGCATCTCTTCCTAGCCAGCTTCCTCTTCTCACGTTTTTCCACTTTATGAAAGTATTGTCTAGAGATGAGAGCTGTCCAACTCAACACTTCCAACTTCAAGTTCCTACTTCACCTCTCTGACTCCCTAGAGTTAGAAAACAACAGTAGTCCCTTTCCCTTTTTTTCTTGAGAAACTTTATTCAGCTTTATCTCAAGACATCACCACTTCCCTCTGCTGTCAACCTTAAATAGTGAGGTTCAGGAAATATAATTAAGCATAGAGTTTATTCCAGCGTCAGGCTTGTGGGTAGCCACCCAGGAAACACCAGCTTCAAATGGGGTCAGCATTCCAAAGTGAAGTTCAGGTTTCACTTAGGTGGGCAGAGATAAATTTTAGCAGGATTTTATTTTCATAACAGACCAGTGCATACTTAACAGCTATTTGGTAGTTTATAGATTGCTATATTCCAAGAAAGGGTACTCTGTTATTCTGTGAGTAGGGGTCGTGATCTCAGGGGGTTGTATCTCTGGTATGGTTTGGTCCTCCTGTTATAATTATTTACAGAAACAAAAGGCAGACGTTGCAGATGGCTGCTGCTTGACTCAGGCTGTAGCCACATTCCTCTCAAAGCTCAAAATAAAGCTCCAACAGCTTTTAAGTTTGAATTACTGAATTTCACATAACTATACTTAAGTCATTTTGTTTACTAATGTGCTACATAAAGATACGGGTTCTAAACCAGGTGAGGTGGCTCACGCCTGTAATCCCAGCACTTTGGGAGGCTGAAGCCGGTGGATCACCTGAGGTCGAGAGTTCGAGACCAGCATGGCCAACATGGCGAAACTCTGTCTCTTCTAAAAATACAAAAAAAAAAAAAAAAAATTAGCCCGTCGTGATGGTAGGCACCTGTAATCCCAGCTACTTGGGAGGATGAGGCAGGAGAATTGTTTGAACCCGGGACGCGGAGGTTGCAGTGAGCGGACGTTGCAGTGAGCGGAGATCGCGCCACTGCATTCCAGCCAAAAAAAAAAAGCTATGGGCTCTATATACTGCATATTGCAGTACATTCAAGTCTTAGGTTTTATTCAGTAAGTTACAGAAAATATTAAACAAGGATATAAAGCAGAAAGTAAGGCAATATTAGTGAGGCCTTAGTCAATTTCAGATATATTCACTAATTCAGCTCCTAAAAAGTTGCTTATGAAGTGTGAATTGTAGTGATAGCTACTGTTTCATGGTGGTGAATATTTGCTTCGGATTTATGTATATTTTCTATTTAAACATGGGAGTCATCCTGATAGACATCTTTCTAACTTCCCGTCGAAACATGTGGGACAGATATGGTGGCTCATGTGCAATCCCACCACTTTGGGAGGCCAAAGTGGAAGAATTACTTGAGCCTAAGAGTTTGAGAGCAGTCTGGGTCACAAAGTGAGAACCCATCTCTACAAAAAATAAAATAACTAGCCAGAGTGCTAGTTCACACCTGTAGTCCCAGCTGCTTGGAAGATTGAGGCAAGAGGATTGCTTGAGCCTGGGAAATCAGAGACACAGTGAGTTATGATCACACCACTGCACTCTAGCCTGGGCAGCAGAGTGAGACCCTGTCTCAAAAACAAACAAAAAACCCAACTTATTGTGAATTATCTTTATCTTTAGAAATAGCAGTAAATGTACTGTATTTCTATAAAATTATTGTCTTTAAAAATGTAATTGCTTCTGGAATTGAATTAATGTGGCTGAAAATTGGATTAATATGGCTTTTTTTTTTTTTCTTTTTTTTGTATTTTTAGTAGAGACGGGGTTTCACCATGTTGACCAGGATGGTCTCTATCTCTCGACCTTGTGATCCACCCGCCTCAGCCTCCCAAAGTGCTGGGATTACAGGCTTGAGCCACCGCGCCTGGCAATATGGCTGTTTTTGAGCTATAATTTTTTTTTTTTTTTTTTGAGACGGAGTTTCGCTCTTGTTACCCAGGCTGGAGTGCAATGGCGCGATCTCGGCTCACCACAACCTCCGCCTCCTGGGTTCAGGCAATTCTCCTGTCTCAGCCTCCTGAGTAGCTGGAATTACAGGCACGTGCCACCATGCCCAGCTAATTTTTGTATTTTTAGTAGAGACGGGGTTTCACCATGTTGACCAGGATGGTCTCAATCTCTCGACCTCGTGATCCACCCTCCTCGTCCTCCCAAAGTGCTGGGATTACAGACTTGAGCCACCGCACCTGGCCGAGCTATAATATTTTTCAACTGTTTTCCCCTTTGCTTTCTTACCTCAAGACAGTTACGTATGTAGCAAGAAAGCAGAAGAATCTCTCACTAGACTTCCTGGCTGTAGTTCCCAAAAAGCTTAAGACAGGAAAATAATATTTGAAGGAAGAGGTTGAATGCTTGAGAGAAGCAGAAATATGTTACCCAAAAATAGAGGTGACTCAGGTCCTGGTAGAGGGGAACTATGACACCAAAAGGGAAGGGTTATATCTGTGCCTCCAGGGAGTCTGGCTTAGAGGCCCATGGGTTCCCAACCATGCCAAAGTTTCAAGATTTCTGTAGCCCAACATGAATTTGGGGGGTTGAGGAGGCTGGAGTGGTGTAGAGAACCACAGGAGCGTACAAAAACAGTGGTGGCCTCAGTGGTGGCAGTCAAACTTGACATACTTGGTTTTGTGGACTGTAATTAACATACTCTACAAAAGATAATGTTTTCCTGGGAAGTTGGGAGTGGGGAATAACATTCAAAGGCAGGAGTACATGTTTCAAATCTATAAGCCTAAAACTCAGGTGAGAAGTTGCTCAGCCACCCAAAAACAAGGTGGGAAGATGACAGTTCAGCTGCTTGGGGTCTTTTTTTTTTTTTTTTTTTTTTTTTGAGACCAAGTCTTGCTCTGTTGCCCAGACTGGAGTGCAGTGGAGCGATCTCAGTTTACTACAACCTCCGCCTCCCAGGTTCAAGTGATTCTCCTGCCTCAGCCTCCCAAGTAGCTGGGATTACAGGCGCATACCACTGCGCCCATCTAATTTTTGTATTTTTAGTAGAGATGGGGTTTCACCATGTTGGCCAGACTGGTCTTGAACTCCTGACCTCAAGTGATCCGCCCACCTCCACCTCCAAAAGTGCTACGATTACAGGCTTGAGCCAACACACCCAGCCTTACTTCCACTAATTTTTTGATAGAATGTTGGAAAGGGATAAAAGATGATTAAGATTTGCAATTATTACCAGGTGTAGAAGAGGCGGCAATATAACATTAATTTTATGACAACCAGGCCGAGCATGGTGGCTCACACCTGTTTTCCCAGCACTTTGGGAGACAGAGGCAGGCAGATCACTTGAGCTCAGGAGTTTGAGATCAGCCATGGGCAACATGGCGAGACCCCGTCTCTACAAAGAATTTTTTTTAAATTATGACAACCTTTTGGTGCTCAGGTGAGATTTTTTGCTTCTAGGCGTCTTCTGTCTCAATTGCTAAAACAGGAGACATCGGTAACAGAGAAGTGTTCTGTATGCAAGCTAAAACACTTTGATTAGGGGTGTTAAGAGCTACAGAGTTGAAATACTCTGCTCTTGTCTCCCATCACATCAGCCTCAGCAAGATTATAATAAGGAGAACATGTGATTTTCCAAAGTTAGAAACCTCCTATATTTCATTTCTAGGACTTCACAGAAAATGCAGCAGCTCTGGAGTGCAAAGAAAACAAAACAAAATGCAGCAGCAGCTGGCACCATGATTACAGTGCAAATGAATCTGTGACAATGAGCTAGGAGAATCTACCTAACAGTTCATAGAAGTTCATTTTATCTGGAAAAAAGCACACAGCTAGATGATGCAGTGGAGTTTACAGACTCAGAGATCTGGAGTTCGGGAGGATTTTGGAGGCAGTCTGGAAAAACCTCATTTTTACAGGAGAGAAACCTATCAACCATATTGGTGTTGCTTTCAACTGAGTTTGAGCTCATTTGCATATTACTACCTAAAAATACATAAACTACACAATTTTAAAAACTAGAACATATTATACAGAATTCATTTTCACACAGCCCTTTACAG